AAAGAAAATTTGTGACAAAAAGCTTCTCCCATGTTATGGCGTCCTTTTTTTTTTTTAAAAAAAACGTGCATTGTATGCTTGCTGCTTTGAAAAGTAAAACATGATATTTTTGTTTAATTATAATTACTAGCAACGAGCCGTGGTGGTTCAGGAGATAGAGCTCTCGCCTCCTAATAAGGTGTTCCTGGTTCAAATCCCAGCAATGGCTTTTCGATACGTATTCCGCACCCGGTTCACACCGACCACAGCACATGTAAAATATTCTCAGTGATAGACGGATCATGGGCTAGAGTTCCCTTGCAGTGAGACTAACCTCTCTATGAAATGCGGATTAGTTCTATCAAAAAGTCCTCCATGAAGGCAAATTTCTACCAGTACTTGATCCAGGAGTTCTTTTGTCTTCTGGATTGGGTTCAAAATTACAAGGCTACGGAATGGAACATTGGAAGTCGTAAACCCAAAATTTTGTCGTCTATTCAACGACGGTTATAAAATTTCACTTTAACCCCTTCAAGACCATGATCACATATGAACTCAATCAACTGATTCTTCCCTATAGTATCATATGAGACTAATCTTTCTGACTCCAGGAGTCCGTGAACGCAAATATGAGTTCTCAATTTGTATGTATGTGTACTCTTAAGTACATGCACTCTTGAGATTTGGGACTTCTATTTTTTTTTTCTGGCCTGTCCTGAAGGAGTTAAACATTTCTTAAAATTTTAAACTGCTTTCGAAACTCAAAATTGCTTACTGTGACAGAGTGTACTATAGCCATACAGCGTTTTGTAATTGTTGTTTTATTCGTTGTATTTTATGTTTATCAAGAATAAAGTAAAAGAAATTAAGCATATTAGAAAAAAAAAATTCTTCAGGGGGAGATAGGGATGAAAACATCAAAACCAGTTGGGCTGTCTTACGAAACCTGGAGGCGTTTCTAATAATATTTCAGTTCTGCAAACCTAATTTGTTTTTATATTTTCAGTCTTCCTATCTTAGTTGTAATTCGCTTGATTTTAATAGCATTTTTGTTCCCCCCCCCACTTAAATTGTAGTTTGATATGCCTAATGTATATTTTTTTTTACCTCATTTCTAAAATGGTTCTAATTATATATATTTAAGGTAATCATTACGGAGCACATAATGTAGTGTTTTGCCATATTATGATTTACAGCTAAATAACTGGGAACTAATTCATGTTAAAATAAAGTGCGTAGTGGAAAATTCCTAGCGAACTTACAAAGAACTTTTATTAAGCAAGGAATTAAATAACTAGTTGAACATCACTAACTTTCGGAAAAACATAATTAAGGAGAATATTCTACACTCCATGTCATAACACAGATATAGTTGTGCCATTCTCTTTCCAAAACAAATCCTTTCGCGATCTGTCTTATATAAACAAGCATACGTCTGGTATCCAATCAGAAACGCTTGCATAATGAGGGTAATAAAAATCGTAACAGTCCCGCAGTGGACTGATCGTTAAGACACGGTTTCCAGCAGATCACCGAAGTCAAGGGCGAGGGGTGTTACTTAGTGGGCAACGGAGTACCTGTGCACTGTGGCACGCACCTCCGATCTAACAAAATTGACGAAATTAAGTAGTGGGGTATGTTAATTTAATAAAGATGAGAAAAAATTGAGTGGGAGTCTAGCGGGTTCACCGAAGTCAAGCATCACTGGCTGCGGTCAGTCTGCGGGTGGGTGACCCACTTGGATCAGTCTGCGTAAGGACCGAGGGTGTGCGGTATTGGTCCTCGTTAAACTGTTCTACCGTAAAGTGCTCGACTTCGCGTGCAGGTCGTCGGGCTACCGAAGCAGGGGTGCCATCCCCTCTACAGAGAATCAAAATTGTGATGGCATGTCTTCTGATCATCCTCAGGGATGTTTCCCAGACCGTCGCCAATAGCCCATTGTGCAGCTCTAGTGCGACGTAAATGAACTACAACAACAAAAAATCGTAACAAATACACTTAAAAATCGTAACAAATACACTTAAAGAAAGAACACATCTAATAGAGCTTAAAAACTTTCCATTCTGAATAATTTTCGTCTTTCTCCCTCTTCCGGCGGTCTTTCGAACTTGTGATCTCTGACTCTCCGTTCTTCTTATTTGAACATCGTTCCTTCAAACTCCTTGTCTGATAACACGTTTTTCGTGATAATCACCTTTCTCGTTAATGAACCTTTTCAAATTTCGAAACTCATCTTAAACAGGGCTAAAGTGAATAGAAGGGCTAGTTCACTCCGCTCTTAGCGCTGACGCTACGATTTCCCACCCCATAACGTCACTGTGTCCACAGATCTCGGCGCACGCAAAGATATTATGATAACTTTGCATCTTTCTCTTTGTAAAAATAAGTTAGACTTTTTCTGGTTATTAGCTTTCAAACTTTGCGTAATAACACATTATTTCCATTCATAAACATAGTTTAAGAAACTTTCTTGGCCATTATATTAAAAAAATACCATTTTAAACTTATAAAAATATTTTACTAGTTGGCGAAAATGACACTATAAATACTTTATTTCAAAAAGTTCAGTTTTAGCTTTAATTATAAAGAAAAATGAAAGCATATATCGACACTTTTTTATCTACATATTCTTTTATACAATAAGTTGAGTTAAATTTAGAATCCCCGATTTTAAAATAAGCCGTTAATAGCAATTTGTTCATACTTAATCATTAGGAAACATCAACCTTAAAAGCTAATTACTGAAACAAAATAATAATTTAGGTTCATAATGACATGAGAAATTTTACATTTGTTGATAGATATTTAAATTTAAGATGCCTTTCTTTATGAAGTAGCGAGGCGGTTTCTATTTAGATAACGAATTTTTATAAGTTCTTAACGATAGAAAAAACGTATTGCTGTTTTATATTAACTGTGTCATTTCGGAATCCATTCTTTACATCGTTGTTCATTTACTTTAGGGAACACGCGGAAAATTATATTTTTTCCTTTTGTTTTTCTATCAGAATTTTTGCAAGTTGCAATCGCGCAAACTGGCATTTCGTTAATAGTTTTAAAATTTTGTAAATTCACGGCAAAAACTGAGGAAAGTCATTATAGGAAATAACAATTGTCTTAGAATATGTCACAAAAAGAAATGCTCCAATATTAGTTAGAGCTAGAAAGGCCGAACGCTCTGTTCTTGAAGTAAAAGTGCGAGCTTTGCGCCAAAGTGACGTCAGTAGAGATAATCGGAGGATTGGCGCGGATAGAGTTTCTTCAAAGGAGTGAACCAGCCCTTCTATTCTCTTTAGCCCTGGTTGATATCAGTGCAATCTTTCCCTCTTCTCAAAAAGAGTCGATTTGCAATAAGTTCTTGTAACGGGCAGGACACCACTACAACTTGTGTATTCATACACTGAGATGCAGTAAAATTTTTAATTCTCTACCTTGAAATGATCAGATTTTTAATACATCTACTATTTAGTAATATAAGTCTGCCTGTAGTGATCAGAAGATGATTGAATCTTGTATTGTCATTCGATACAGGGGTGCAGTTAGAGCCTCTTTTCTTATCACTATTTGGAAAGTGATCGAAATTTTGATTGACGATAGATTCTATTCGACAATAAAAGGACGATTATTCTGCGAGTAGCGGTCAATGGGAAGATTCATATTCATTGTGTTCGGGCACGAAAGTTCAATTTGAATTTATGCATTCTAGCTACATGATGTAAAGTTGAAATTTTGATTACAAAATTCCATTATGTTGCCTTAAACGCAAAAGCTTTTTGTTAAATAAATAATCCTAAGAAACTAAGGAGGTGAGATATTACTTGATTAAAAACTACATTCGCTTCAAAAATATATAAATAGGAAATAACAATCGACATTTTTATAGTACTCATTTTCACAAATTGTTGTTAATCTTTAGCATAAATTCAGCTGTTGGGATTATGGGCATAACTTAAATTTCGACAAGTACCGCAGTGGACTAATCGCTAAGACACGGTTCCCAGGTGATCATCGAAGTCAAACACTGGCTGCGGTCAGTGTGCGGGTGGGTGACCACTTGGATCAGTCTGCGTAGAGACCGAGGGTGTGCGGTATTGGTCCTCGGTAAACTGGTCTACCGTAAAGTGCTCGACTTCGCTTGTAGGTTGTCGGGCTACCGAAGCGGGGGTGCCATCCCCTCTGCAGAGGATCAAAATTGTGATGGGATGTCTTCGGATCATCCTCAGGGATGCTTTCCAGACCGTCGCCAATTGCCCATTGTGCAGCTCTAGTGGGACGTAAATGAACTACAACTACAACAATCAATTTCGACAATGCCAAAATTATTTCCATTCCAGTTACATCAGCTCAATTTGATGCCCTGGAATAATATTTTATTCATATGAATGCTGATTCCCTTAATAATATTAGTTGCTCACCACTTTTCCAAATGCATGGTAAATGCTTGTTCTGTTTCTCATCTTTTTTCTTTCTCTCGGTTACTGCGGTTTTTCTAATTTTGTTTCTCACCTTTATATTTGCATTTTTTGTTGGCAACTTTTCGTTTTATATATCAAATTACTTTAGTTTCCTGTTATTCACAACTTACAAGTCTTGAAAATGAGAGCCTGTTTTTGAGCGCTTGCATCATGTCGACTGTTATCTCCTATTTACATATTTTTGAAGCGAATGAAGTTTTTAACCAAGTAACAAAAGCTATAGTTAAAGACGTATTAAAAATATTTAAAATTGCTTTTATTGATATTACTCACATGAATTAAATCGTACTGGTTCAAGTATTATAAATTTGTATTCTGTGCAGTTATTGGAAAACCATATTCATAATACCTACAATTTTACAATACATACAATTTTGAATCAATCAAACATTGTCATTTAATTCGTTAAATAAAACAGCATGAAAAGAGACTGATGAAAACAATATGATTCATAAACTGCAGACTAAACCACGCCCACCTGTTCTGAATGTCGGCAGGTGTTTCTATTGACCCAGCTATTCAGAATCCTTGCGCATCAAGCAAAAAACAGCTGGAATAGATACACAAGAAACGCAGAATCACCGTCAGTAGTACAGGTACAGGTTTACGCAAACTTCACTTCTACATGCTTCTGTCAAGGATGACACAAGATAAGGAATTGTGTCAGTTTTGAAAAATGATTCTTAAAAATATGGAATTCAAAAACCCATTAGTTTCGAAAAAACTCAAAAATGGCGCTGTTGATTTCAAATCGTCTGCTTCCATCTTTGGCTTTTCTAAAGGATTATTGCAAGTTTTCGATTAATAAAAATTATTGCAAGGCAGATACATCGAATACTAAACGATCGGAACGGATACTTTATTTAAATTCCATTTTGTTCTTATGAACAATAATTAAATTTAAAAGTTATCAAACGATTTCTTAGGAAACGGTTTCTATCAAACGATTTACGATTCTGTTACAGAAGATCTGACGATTGCAACAATGAGGTACTGCTTCACACCCAGAATTTTGAAAAAGAAAATTTGGAAGTGAAATTTACTGTAGAAGTTTATTAAGTGAATTTAAGAAGTTTTTAAATCATCAGTTATAGCTGCTGTTTTTATCCAACATAATTATTTTTATGTTAAATTTTGGAAAATTTATCTTTTCTTGTTAGCATTTTTACGATCTTCAGTTGTCGCGGTCTATATCTTCCAGTTACACAAGACTGTGTTTTCTCCATTTGTTATTAGAGCCCATTACTTGGCAGAGCTACAGATTAAAACTCATGGCCATGGCGGCTCAACTTCAGCAATTTTTTAAATCTTGTGATCCGGATGGTACCCGATCTGCTGATCGGGAAGCATTTAGAGACTTGTGCTGTCGCCTAAATATCTCGATTGATGACGCCGATGTGATTTTTGAGGATTTGGATCACGATCGTGATGGAAGAATCAGCTTTTCTGATTTTTCTAAAGGACTGTCAAATTTCTTGTCCAGCACGGACGTAGCAGATCGGGACGCCGTATCGATTCTTGATTCTGAAGTGTTAGTTGGTGATTCGAATGACACAAAAAAGCAATATGTGTGGACAGCCCTCACCAGCGAAGCGGAAAGAGTTGGAAAGAAAAATAGGTATGTTTTTAAAATACGTTCAAATTTTTTCTAATTAATGTTACATTTATACAATACACTGTTAAAAAAATATTGAAGCATATATTAAAGTATAGTATCGTTCAAATTTACTGCAACCTTTATACGGAGGTATTATTTTTATGGTACTTTTTAAACTTAATTACTTGTGATTTAACTTGAATAGAAACATGGTTCAATTTAACATTTAATTTAGGTTACGATAAAATTGCTCCATTTTATGGTTTTTATATCGGTATTATGTTTTTATGTATGGATGTTATGGTTCAAGATTGAACCGGATTTTCTGAAACTGTAGTTTTTAATATATGGGTCGCTTCTTAAACCTAGATCTCATGTGAATGTGCAATATATGTCACCGAAGCTTCTCAGTTAAGATCATGGATGTCGTAGGGGTCCAATTTTTTAAGGAAAGGGGGTGAAATTAAATGACACAATCACAATAGTTCTCTAAATTTCACACATAAAAAAAATAATAAAAATTCCTAAATGTGCTAAATATCTGCGAAAAGATTAATTATTTTTATTTCATCCGTGATTCTAACTTTAAAAAATTTAAATCGATGATAATTCACTAAAATTATCTTTATTTGCCTGAAATATTGAGGGGGATTTTTAGAGGTTTCTATTTATTGAGGGGGCATATACTCTATATCCCCCGCCAATGACACTCATTAAGATAAATAAACTATTTAGATGTTAAATCATAAATTTTCATTTTCTAATTTCTAACATTTTTTCATGTTAATTTTAAAAATCTGGTAAGAGTGAAACTGCGTAGTAAAAAAAGTGGTAAAAATATTGTTGTCATCAAGTTGAAATATAGATACATACTTGGTAGTTTAGTAAATTTGCATCAAATTTAAACGAAATATTTCTTTGTAATCAACTTTTATGCTAATAGTTTTTCTAACTGTGAAACCCATTTTCTCACAAGTTAATAAATATTGAATTTTTACTCCATTTCCCTCCCCCCCCTGAAAACCCGATCTTTAAGCATTGTATATAGTGCTATATACAATATAAACTACGACATACAATATATAGTACGATATAGAATTAGGTTTGTTCCCCCCCCCCCAATATAGAATAGTTTGCATTTGTATTCACAATCTCATTAAAAGAGGCGACAGCAAACTAACTCAGATTTTTTTTGACAAGAATAGTAATAGGAAAAATTTAGTTAGAAAGAATATGAGAATCCTTCACAGTTGAATTATTAAATTTACTGCTAAATTCGCGTTAGTAAAAAAAAAAAAAAGTTAGACATTTTGCTAGAAATACAGTTTTTTTTTATTTAAAGAAGTAAAAAACAAGAAATCGTTTGCACAACATAGTGCTATACCTTTGCTTACCATATGCTGTTTCCAAATGGTGTTCCGCTAAACCCTAGGGCTACCTGGAGGATCACCACTTGATTTAAATTTTTTCAGTTCAGGAATTATTTTTTAAACCTCAATTATATTAATATCTAGCCGGCCAGACGGTCGAGCAGTCAGTGTGCCTGACTGCGAAGCCAATCGCTGCGGGTTCGAATCCCGCTCTGGGCATGGATGTCTCTCTTTGTGTGTTGTTCTCTATTGTGTGATGTGAATTGTGTGTATTTGATCCTCATCAGCATTGGCTCGACAGCCCTTTGTGAGCCTGGGCCTTCCTCAGAAGCTTTTCCCATTCTGCCCTTCTCCCAGCAATTGTTTTCCAGTTCTTTACTTTTAGGATGGCAAAATCCTCATCCACACTGTCCTTCCATCTCTTTTTGGGCCTTTCTTGGCCTTTTATTGGAGGGGGTTGCATTAGAGACTCTCAATGCTGTTCGTTCTGGGCTCATTCTCACTACATGCCCGGCCCATCTCATTCAACTTAATTTAATAGATTTAATGATATCATTGCCATCAAAGATCCTATATATTTCAAAATTATATCTTTTTCTCCAGTTGTCGTAACTTCTCTTCCCTTTTTGTTTAAGTCCATGTCTCTGAAGCATGTGTATTTGATATTTTGGTAAATTTTATAAAATTATTTATATTATATCGAATTCCAGTAAAACAAAATTTATTAAAAATTGTATCAGCAGGTTTCGTCGAACTTTTCGATTCAAAATAAGATGAACAAATTAAAGAATAACGAATTATATTTCTCTGATAGCTATTCTCAAATTTTATAAGATTTCTTTTTCGAAAATTATAATTCAGCTTATTTATTCATTTCCAGCTACTTTATGCACAAAAAACAAATTCAGAACTATTCGAAATAGCTTTTCAGGCCTACGAATTCTATTGTTAGACACAAAACTTATTATTTTATGAGTTTTATTGATAAAACGATTATTGAAAAAAAAAATTTTTTTTTTCTTCACATTAAATATTTTTAAAATATGTAATAGTCTTTCTTTGATTAATATGATCACTGCTGGTAATAAATTTTACTTATATATTTGGGGTTCAGTCATAAGACGCTCGATCTTTGAGGGTTCAGTAGTCGTAAGAAACTGGGAACACTTGTCTTAGTTCATCATATGTTGCACTATGGAGCATTGGATGTTGCGTTTTTGATAACACAAATTTTGAAGTCTTGTCTGACTTGAAAGTTGATTGAAATTGGATATTTACGCAATTAAAACAAATTTTTAATAAAGTTTTTTTTTATCAGCCTACATTAGCTGTTATAAATCAAATGAATCATTAGCGAATAATACCAAATTGTATTTAATTTCATTATTTTAAAAATTTAGAGATTAACTGAGAACATGAAAATTTTAACAATCCGTCCGTGGCTATGTCCATTACATTTATGCTAATTGACCTTTTGAAACACCTGTTGCACGTATCTTTGGCCGTCCCTTGATACAATACTCTCACTGGTCCAAGATATAAGAAACACACTCTTTTTTTTGTTTAGTTAGGCTTAGCGAAAGTACTTCATTTTTAAAATTTCTATGTATTATTATTGTGGATGGCATTTTGTTATCTATCTATCTTATCTTTGTTTTTAAACTTAAATACTACAGGACTACTGAGTTTTGTTTTCCATTTGTATTAGTACTTTGAAAAAGAAATCTTTAGTTTCTTGTAAACCAGAAAATATACAACACATCAGATAGCAACTGTTACTACAGGACTGCTACATTTTAGGTATCAGCCTAATATACAGAACAAAGAATATCTTCATGAGGGGAAGCTAACATATTTACACTGGTGTTGGGTACATTCCATCCTAGCTTCAGCACTTTCCTCCCATGGTTTCTACTAGCAAAACTTTGCCATGACATTTATCTTTGTCAAACTATGTTGTTGTTGTTTCTAATGTCACTTGCCACACTAGCCAGTCTGCTTGGTGAAACCGACTAAATTTAAGGCAGAGGTTGCGTTTCTTGTTTTGCAGTGGCGCCATCTACGGAAGAATTCGTCTTCAGCCACACATACGTCACACCCGTTTATAGGGCTGACCCATTCATACATACACAGATCGTAATTTTTGACTTGGATCAGAGAATGATCGATCTCCTATCCAGTACACCTAGAGGTATTGATTTGTTCTGGGAACATGGAGGACTTTGCGACTCGACTGTTTTAACGTACAGCAGTCACTATTTACTACACGGGGAGTCTTCGGCCGTCGGGGTTCGGAACCACGAGCTCTCGGACATGGACAATTTAGCACTTCTGTCCTGGTTCACAATGCGTTACGCTACATAAAAAAAAAAAAAAAAAAAAAAAAAAAAAACAATATTTTCCGGATTTTAACACTTTTTATATCGTTGACTGTTCTTTCAATATAACATTAATGAAACGTTCATAAATGAAACGTTGAAAATAAGTTAGTAAAAAAAGTTGTTATGAGAAAAGCTGTCTATGATTTCTACACTTTTAAAGTTCGATTATCTTAAATTAACAAAATGTTTTGCCGTAATTAAATTACTTCTCATTTATAAATCATATGTTTTGTTTTTAGAACATCTGGTTTTGTTCATTGATGTACATTGTTCTATTAAGCACTTATTTAATATAGGTAGTAAGTGCTCTACATCGGTTTATTGGAGAATGGGAAAACGGATATAGCATACATAAATAGTTAAAAAATAAATAAATTAAAAATTAAACGAATAAAAAAATAAAGAATGAAAAAATAAAAATCAAAATTAAGGTAGCAAACAATACTTAAGTGGCGATACTTTTTTTTCTAATTAATTATTAAAAATGCAAAAAGTAAAGTTAAAATTAAGGGGGTTCAAACTTTCAACCGCTTGCCTGACCTAACTATTGGGACCATATTTTCCAAGTTGTGATTTTCCCCATATTTTAACAGTCAGGTATCCAAATCTTACTAAAGAAAAGGTATGTTTATCCAGAAAAAGTACGATTATCTTTCTGATTTCGTAGCTTAAAACAACATCTACCTTAAGTATTAAGCATATTTGAGGTCACCCCAGTGAACTAATTAGTTTGAGTCCTAGTGCGTGAAAATCTGATCATTAGGGGATCAAAGGTTATTCAGCATATTTTCTTTCTTTCTTTTTTTGTGAGCAGTACATTTTTTAAAAAGAAAATAATAAATGAAAGCATTATAGAAACTTTTGTTTATAATTGCATTTGCTTGAAATTCTCTTAATTACAACCTTTTTGAGGTAAGGTTTAACCAAATTTATTTAATTTTTAATATTATTTAATGAGTGTTATTAATACATGTAATGTTACAATTCAAGTTTTTTTTCGACTATTATTAAATGCAAAATATTACAAATAATTATTAAAAATTATTTATTTACTTTGAATTATTTTTGGATAAACGAATTTTATAATTGAGTGCAAAAAGTTTCCAATTCGTTTCAATAGTTTTCGAGATATAGCAAAATAAGCAAAAAGTAAAATTAACTCTAAGGAGGGATACAAACTTTCAACCGCACTCCAGACTAAATTATTGGGACAATATTTTACAAATTACGGTTTTGCCCCATATTTTGAGGGTCAGAAATCTAAATCCGT